AGCAATGTTTTGTGGGCAGGGAATGGATCTCGCAAAGTACGGTCTGAAGGGTGGGGAGAATTACAAAGAACCTTCTTAAGGGTGGGGAAGATAACAAAGTACACTGATCAATTAGGGTGGAGCAGAAAAATCACAATGGTGGAATGTCATCAGTTAAGGATATTTTCACTTCTTTTATGGATCTTCAATTGCTTCAGGCCATCTGGATATATACGCGCAGGTCACAGGGGATATGATGGCTTAGCTTGGGCTCAGAGGCCTGACATTTCTCTCTTTTCTCAGTCTCTCAGAGACAGGACCTGTATTTTAAAGGTTAAACAAGCAGATTCTGGCTGCGCTCAATTGCAGATTTGATTAACTTAGACAGATCAAAGACAGTAGTCTCAGAGAAAAAAATTGTTTCTCATCCCTAAAGTGCTATTGTGTCAGCTCTGCCGGGGGAAGCTTGGTGTAAGGAAAAGGGTTTGGAAGAGAGAAGAAAATTTCTTGCCCCGTCTCCTCACTGCCTGCTGTAAATTTGTAGTATCTTTATCTTGGCCTCCTAAGCCCCAAGAGCTGCATTATATATAATTGCCCATATGTGATACCATTTACTGAATTCTTGCATTGTGCTAAGCATCAAGTTTAGCACTTTACATGCATTACATCGTTGTCTTTAGGGACCCCAAAAGTGCCTCACTGGAGAGTTGTTTGGTCTGCTAAAGAGTGGGTACCACTTTTACTTCTCACATCAGTCCTTTCATTCATTCATCCAGCAAGTATTTACTAAATACCTGTTATGGGCCAGGAATTGTGCTAGGCACTGGTTATACATTGGTGAATAAACAGATATATTTTTTGCCTTTGTGAATCTTACAGTGATAGAGACTAATAGGCTAAGGGGGTGCTGTTTGGCTAGGAATGTCATAGAATGCCTTTCCGAGGAGGTTACATTTAACATAGACTTGAAGAATGAGGAGTCATGCTAAGAATGGATAAGAGATCATTCAAGACAAAAGCAAACCAGATGTGTAAAGATCTTGAAGTAAAAAGAATTCCAAGGAGCCAGGTATGGTGGTCTGTAGTCCCAGACACTTGGGAGGCTGAGACAGGAGGGTCGCTTGAGTCCAGGAGTTTGAGGTTACAGCAAGCAATGCTTGCACCACTGCACTTCAGCCTGGGTGACAGAGTGAGAACCTATCTCTAACAAACAACAACAAAAGACAACTCCAAAGAGTATTTGAGGATCTGAAAGAAGGCCTGTATGGATGGAGTATAATAGTAAGAGGGAGATTTGTAGATGAGAGTGGAGAAGAAATAAAAATCAGATTATTGAAGGGACTTACATATCATGGTAAGGAGTTTGTTTTTTTTTTTCTCAAGGCAATAGAAAGCCTAAGCAGAGGAGTGATATAATCTGATTTCTATTTTTAAAGGATTTTGCTATATGTATGTTATACTTCAATTTTATTTATTTATTTATTTATTTTTAGACAGAGTCTTGCTGTGTCGCCCAGGCTGGAGTGCAGTGGCGTGATCTCGGCTCACTGCAAACTCCACCTCCCAGGTTCACACCATTCTCCTGCCTCAGCCTCCTGAGTAGCTGGGACTACACGCCCGTCTAATTTTTTGTATTTTTTAGTAGAGATGAGGTTTCACTGTGTTAGCCAGGATGGTCTCAATCTCCTGACCTCGTGATCTGCCTGCCTCAGCCTCCCAAAGGGCTGGGATTACAGGTGTGAGCCACCACGCCTGGCTGTTATACTTCAATTTTTAAAGAGAGACTTTAAGAAATGAAGATGACTCTGGCTACTGTGTGGAGGGTTGGAGAGAAGCAAAAGTGGAAGCAGACTAAATAAGGAGACTATTGCTGCAATTCATATAAGAGATGATGGTGTCCTGAAAGAGTGGTGGCAGTGAAAATTGGGAGAAGAGGGCAGAGTCAAGATATATTTAGGAGACAGAAATGACAGGTCTTGATGATGTATTATAAATGAAGAATGAAGAATAGAATAGAGAAAAATGAATAATTAGCTCTGAACTTTCTGGCTTGAGAAATGGGGTAAATGGGGTGTAATTTACTGAAACTGGAAAGATTTAGAAAGGAATAGATTCGAGGAATCAAGAGTTTGATTTCAGATTCCTTCAGTCCGGGATGCCCATGAGATTTCCAACTGGGGATACCAGATAGGCAGTTACACATGAGATTGGAGCACAGAGAGATGTGGGCTTAAAATATAAGTCTGCATCTCATCAGCTTATTCAGATAGTATTTATATCCATGGATATGGCTGAGATCCCAAAAGGAGAGAGTGAAGAGAAAATAGAGAAGAGAGTCTAGGGCCAGACCCAAGGAAGCTTCAACACACAGATGAGGAGACTGAAAAAGAAACTGAAAAAGGAAACTGACAAAGAACAGCCAGAGAGAAAGGTCAGGAGAATGTTTTGACTGTCCGGGGCCAGTCTGGGGCCAGAATATGCTGTCGCAAAATAAGAAGGATTGTTGAGCTGAAGGCAAGTTAAAAGAAGCAGATACAGGCTGGGTGCAGTGGGCTCACGCCTGTAATCCTAGCACTTTGGGAGGCCGAAGTGGGCAGATAGCCTGAGCTTAGGAGTTTGAGACCATCCTGGGCAACATGATGAAACCCCATCTCTACTAAAATACCAAAAAAAAAAAAAAAAAAAAAAGCCAGGAATAGTGGCATGTGCCTGTAGTCCCAGCTACTCAGGAGGCTAAGGCATGAGAATTACTTGAACCCGGGAGGTGGAGACTGCAGTGAGCTGAGAGCTCACCACTGCACTCCAGTCTGGGCAACAGAGCAAGGCTCTATCTCAAATAAAAAATAATAATAATGATAATAATAATAAAAGAAGCAGATACAGGAGGGGTCTTCTGCCCTCCCTCTATTTGCCTAAAAGAACATAAATTTACAAAGACAAAAGTTATCCTGCTTCTACCTCCCTCCTCTGCCTCCTACCACCAGGAAGAACAAAGGTTAACCACTGAAGACAACTTTGGACTCTTATTGGCCTGGAAATGGTACTGGAGGAATCAACATTAACAAGCTTTACAAATTAGCCTTTATCTGCCATTCATTTGCCTTCCCCCAAGCAGCCACCCATTAGAGACTCAAAAGTCCTTAAAAGTCTTTTCCTTTGTCTTACACTTTTTAAAAAATTTACTGTTCTTTGTTGAAGATGCTATATAAGTTGGAATTCTAAGCCACCTTTTTGAGAACCGCTCATTCTCTGGGTGTCTGTCATGTATATATGAAATATACATGTTAATAAACTTCTGTTTGCTTTTTTTTCTTGTTAATCTGCCTTTCGTAACAGGGGTCCAGTCCATCTGAGAACTTATTGGAGTTATTGTCCTACATGACAAAGAACTCATGAGAATAAGTGTTTCAAGAAGGGGATGACAAATGCTGCTGAGAGGTTTGATAAGATGAGGACTAAAATGTGACCATTGATTGTGGAAGTAATATAATGAACTTGACATGAGTTATGTTAGAAAATTACTGCTCAGGGACACCAAATTAGAGGAGACAGAGAAGTAATAGGAAATTGAAATAGGAGATGTAGACAACCCTAAACTGTAATTGAACATAAACAGTTTATTTGATGGAGCTTTTCACATGTCAACCAAAAGAGCAGTGTCAGATACATAAACATTGCTATGATGTCAGAGTTCCAATGTTATGGCCACTGGGATCACTTTGCCCACACAGACCATTACCCTTCCTCTCTAGCTCTGACTTCTACTCTTCTAGAAGTCACTGGTATACTTTATGGTGTGTCTTCCAATCAGACTCTTGGGAATGTCTTCTATTGAAAACTCCTGTGGATGCATAATTGTTTTCCCAAGACTCAGGGCAGATTTCACCTCCTCTGGAACCCCATTAACTTTCTCAAGTATAATTAACAATTTCTTCTTCTGGAGTCCCACAATACTTTACATACACCTTAGTTATTGCATGTATTAAGTTAGTTTCTAGTTCCCAAAATAAGTTATTGCATGTATTAAGTTGGTTTCTAGTGTCCCAAAATAAGAAGGATTGTTAAGCTGAAGGCAAGCTAAAAGAAGCAGATACAGGCTGGGTGCAGTGGGCTCACGCCTGTAATCCCAACTAGACTGTGAGCACATTGAGGGAAGGAACTTGGCTTGGAAAGTAAAATTGGCTCCTAATGTTTTATCTAAACACATAGGCTCAATTTACAACAGGATTCCATCTTCTTATGTTGTGTATTCCCATCTCTCCTCTGCTCCATCCCACCATCCTTCAAGGTTATTACAATAAAATTCGGATCAAATAATTGATTCAACTAATTTTTCTTGTTTTGGACAAAATAGACATCCTAATACAGTTATAGCCAAAGTTTAATCTAGACGCTAAAAGGAGCATATTTTACCTTTAGCCTGTATCTTTCCCGTCTCATTCCCAGTCAAGATAATCACAACTGTATTCTTTAGGAAATTCTTCACAAAGAACCAAACATATGTTCCTATAAAACAGATTCTTGGTATCCTAGTGAAAAAACCTGCCCTCTTGCTTGTCTGTAAATACTGGCCTTGTCTGGGTGTGGTAGCTCATGTCTATGATTCCAACACTTTGGGAGGCCAAGGTGGGAGGATCTCTTGAGCTCCAAGAAGTTTGAGACCAGCCTGGGTAACACAGTGAGATCTCATTTCTACAAAAAAATTTTTTAAACAGTTAGCCTGGCATGGTAGCTTGTGCCTGTAGTTCCAGCTACTTAGGAGGCTAAGATGGGAGAATTGATTGAGCACAGGAGGTCGAGGCTGCAGTGACTGCATTTCAGCCTGGGTGACAGAGGGAAATACTGTCTCAAAAAAAATTAAACAAATAAATAAATAAGTAAACACTTGCCTTGCCCTCAGATTTGAAGAAATAACTCATGATTTTTTTGGGAGGCTCAACCTGCCCATGCAGTACTTCTGTACTCTACCAGCAGTGTACCGTCAAGAGCCCGTTAATGATTTGTAATGTTTTGTCTTTCAGAACCAGAGGCAGGAGAAGTGTCCCCTCCAGTTGGTGCGGGTGTCAACAGCAACAGCTGGACCTTTAAATACGGACCAGGCAACCCCAAACAATCCGGTCCCGGTGAGTTGCCAGACAAATTCATTATCCCAGGATCTCCTGCAATCATCTCCATCCGGCAGGAGCCTACTAACAACCAAATTGACAAAAGTGACTTCATAACCTTCGGCAAAAAGGAGGAGACCAAGAAAAAGAAGAAAAAGAAGAAGGGTAACAAGACCCAGGAGAAAAAAGAGAAAGGGAACAGCACGACTGACAACAGTGACCAGTGAGGTCCTCAAATGGAAACAAGCCACTTAGCCAGTTTTTGTAATAATGGCAAATCTCTCCCATGTAGCAACTCCCTGCTCCTTTTTCCTATCTATGTGAGCCCTCTTAGAGACCTCAGAAATCTGCAGAAAGTTCCCTGTGTCTGTCTAGAACGCATTTAACAGGTTTTGTCGTAAAAGCTTTACTAAGTCTGGTGTTAACTCTTTCTCTCCACTCTGGCTTGTTTTCAGAACCTAAAAAGCAGACCCAAGTTTCCTTTCTCCTCCGCCGCAAAGGAGAGGCTTCCCAGCCCCGCCAGTGAGAGGTTGGACTCTCTGCCCTGTGCTCCGGGGATCCTGTCTTGATGACACTTGCAGGGCAGGCTGAAAAGTTTTGAGATTGAGCAGCTTGGGTGTTTGTGGCCACTGGGTATGTGTGGCCACCGCGGGTATGCGAGTGCCAGACATTGGCTGAGACGGGCCAGCTTAGACTAATTGGTACAAGGAAGGCAAGAGAACAAAGACAAATAAACAGCGGAAGTTATCAGTGTGGAGGGGAAGTGTAAACTAAAAGGGACCAGACTTTCTAAATCTTACAACTCAAGAGGTGGTGGCCACCCTCTAGGAGACAAAACTAACCCCACTGACAAGGCTTTAGGAGACCCTAAAGTCCATTGGCTGTGATGTCATTATCCTAAAATCTGCATCTTACCTGCGAGTCAACAGTTCAGTGTTTTAACAGAGAACCACCCTGGGAAACAGAAGCAGATCTGATGTGTTTCCTATACATGTCCTGTGCTCACTTTATTAAAAATTCTTTTGCACACAATGTTTATGAAAAGGTCAGATCCTTTTCCAATACTTATGCAAAAGCAAAAGAAAACCCCAACACCTCACCTTTCGCTGTTTGTTGTTTCATAGATTTATTTAAAAAAAGAGAAAGTCTATAGCTATAAATCTTTAAAGAGAAATATGAATACAGTTCCCCTAAACTTTCCTCAAAAGAGAATTGAGTCTACAGCCATTTAAATGATCATTGCTGCTACAGAAGTGCTTTAAGAGAATTGCCTGAAACATCTGTATTATATCGGCCACCTGCCAATCACAGCTTTACTCTTTCAGGTCACTCTGGGGCTGCCTCTTGCATGTATTACTAAATAAAATGATCTCTCTCTCTCTCTCTCTCTTTTCTAAGAAACAATTATGTGCACTTTGATACACAACCTTCTCTAACCAACTATATCAAGACCCAAAAATTGAAGAAAAATATTGTTTTCTCATACAGTGAGCAGATTTTTCAGTCTTCTAATTCTGACTTGTCTTGGTGTGCTAGCCTACACCTTCTCTTTGGTTTAGTTTTCCTTTTCTATAACACTCTGAATTGCTAATCTTACTAACACCTATGATGTTACCTGAAATCAATCTCCCATATGTATGCTGTATGCTATGATAAGACTCCTGAAATATACTTACTCTGTGCTTGTGTATGTGAATGTTAATGCAACTATTACCTAGAGTGAACTTTAAGCTTTATTGTTGAATGTAATTCCATTATATTTCCTTTTGTACACCTGTGAAAAAGTGGAGTAGTGTTTTTTTAACCATTGTTAATCAGCTTTTGTGTATGAAAGACACAGTAAAAATTTCTTTCTTAAATCAAGATACTGGTGATTCAAGGAATTTTATTTATGGTCCAACCAAGAGCCATCTCTTGCCAAGACTTCTGCTGGCAAGGGAATGGATAAAGCTGTTTTGTTCTAGTAACAATTTTGGAATGAATACTGACAATATTCCATGAGGGTGTGCAAGCACAAATTTTACCAATCTGACCTCTTTGAAGTTGCAGAATGCTTTGAAATTCTAATGGTATCTGAAGTATCAGCTCATAGAAAGTAATAAAATTTGCTGTCACCTTAAATAAGACATTTTAATTTTGTTATAATGTACAATTTAGAAGTTTGATTAATTATATTATCTATTTAGGCATTAATATAAAAGAAGTAGGAGTCTGTTATTTAAAAAAAAAGCATTAAATTAAAAAAAAAAACTGTCTTGTCTACTTTTAGCTTCATTCTCCCATATTTTGAAGGGTGTGTAACTTCAGCTCTGCAGGATTGCATGGGGTAAAACTTGTTGCCAACACATGTGAACCATTGCCACATTGTAGGTTGTGATCATTTTGCCCCACTGAAGCCCATGTATCTGACCTTACGTGCCTTTTGAACTAGGAGAATCGGGCTAATTTGTTAATGATGATAATTATAATGTATCTGTACAGCACTTTTTACATTTGCGAAGTGCTTTCCAATCCATGTTAGTTACTAGTTATTACAGCTGTAAGGATAAAACACGTCATGTGGATTCATTTTGAATTGGTGCTATTGGTATTTCCTCTGTTATTGCTAATAAATGAAAATGGTGGTATGAAAGAAATGGTGGTCATTTCTAAGTATAAGAGTAGGAGGAAATAGAACACTGATAGGCAATTAATACTAAGAAGATTGCTGCAGTATGAAACTCACTGTAACACTCTCTATCCCGTTAGCTTTTATGTCGATTACTAAGGCAAAAGCCCCAATGGAATCAAGATTCGAACTTTACATAATTAGAATGGACAGCAAGGAGGTTGCTGTGTTACTTTGTAGTTACACTGTTTTAGTCTTCTCTAATAAGAATTGCGACAAACCAACTTTTTTTTCTCTTTTTCTTTTTTTTTTTTAGACAGAGTCTCGCTCTGTCGCGCAGGCTGGAGTGCAGTGGCGCTGTCTCAGCTCACCACAAGCTCTGCCTTCCGGGTTCACGCCATTCTCCTGCCTCAGCCTCCCGAGTAGCTGGGACTATAGGCGCCCGCCACCACGCCCGGATAATTTTTTTGTATTTTTAGTAGAGACGGGGTTCCACCGTGTTAACCAGGATGGTCTCGATCTCCTGACCTCGTGATCCGCCCACCTCAGCCTCACAAAGTACAGGGATTACAGGCGTGAGCCACTGCGCCCAGCCACAACAAACCAATTTTTATCACTAGAGCCCTTCTAGTCATCTTTTTCATTACTTGTTTAGCCCCTGCACCTCTCTACAATTGGGAAGCCAAGTGACACCCCAAAGAAATGGACTTTTAGGTCAGGGATAGTGGTTCGTGCTTGTAATCTCAGAACTTTGGAAGGCCAAGGCCAGAGGATGGCTTGAGGCCAGGAGTTCAAGATCAGCCTGGGCACATAGCGAGATCCCATTTCTACAAAAATAAATAACTTTATTGAGTACAGGGTATATGCCAGCCACTCTACTGCATAGGTTCAGTTGTAACAAATAGATTGTTTTGTCCTTTTGTAGTTAAATTTGTATAAATATAAGCTTTAGATGCAGTAGGTTCTCAGGAGCAATTTTGCCCTCCTGGGGACATTTGGAAATGTCTGAAGGTACTGTTGCTTTTCATTACTTGAAGTGGAGGGTGGTACTGGCATCTACTGGATGGAGGGCAGTGATGCTGTGAAACACCTGGCAATGCACAGGACAGCCCCTACAACAAAGAATCTTACAGCCCAACATGTCAATAGTACCAAGATTAAGAAACCTTGAGATAGAGTGACCATATAATTTGTGTAGTCCGCTTTTGAAATGGAACAGGAGATACCATTCATTATTACTTCAGGATTCAAGATGTAAACTGGGACTGTTCCAGGCTAACTGGGATTTATAGGGACTCTATAAATAAGCTGTGCCACTAACTAGATGGGGAATTTGGGGCAAACCACTACTGCTCTCAGTTTTTCAGTCATCTCTAAAATGGTAATAATTATAATACAGACCTTATAGATTTGTGAGGTGATCTTGAAAAGTTTTTAGCAGGTCTGGCCACACCACAGTACTCGATAAATATTATTATTATTAATCCTTTTCTTCCATTTCCTCACCCGCTTTTCAGAGATTTAGCTATTAGATTCAGGTAACTTTTTCTACTGACTACTAAAATGTGAATGAGGGATGGCAAAGTAAATCAACATAGACTTGGCAATAAAAATATTTTATTTACTCCTCCAGTCTTTTGCTCACCCCAGGAGGAAAAGAAGTAAGTTTCATAACTCCTTACCTATTTCTATCATAATAATAATCAAGTCCTTAAGTAGTCAAGTGGCCAGTCTGTTTGCAGCTATTTCACCTCAATTATCAGTGATCTGAAAGCCAGAAACCAAAGGGTTTGAAGTACAACAGCTTGAGAGAAAAAGAGAAGAGTCACCTCCAACAAGTTCTTTCAGCAGATGGGCAAAACAGAAATGCCAAATTACCCACAGACTCGCCTGGGATTTCACAGGCAATAAAGGACAAGACAGGTGCATCTTTCTCAAGGGCCAGGCTACGTGATATAAGTCTCACATATACAGAGTACAAGATTCACTCTTTAGAAATATTGCAATTGATCTAATTTTAAAGGATGAGATTCTCCAATAAGTGTCTAGAGTCTTGGCTGTTGAATTTTAGGCTCCTAGGTAAGATTGTAAGTGTCAGGATCTCATGTTAGTGTATTTTATGTTTAAATTATAAACATTACATTTAAGTTATAAACCCCAATCTAAAGTACAAATGTAACTGACCAAACACTAATGCAATTTTACTGTTAAATCTAGATTTTAAAACCATGCAAACATTAAGAGATACAAAAAAACAAGTAAACAAAACTACAGACACACTTCCTAAAGACTTTCAGTCCCTGGAGCTTTTCCAGGAAATGGAAATGGAAATGGAAAGTTGGCCACTCTTTGACTCAAATTCATCATATTTTCATGTGCTTTCTCTCCTTGCGGGAAAAGCTGATTATGTTATTTTCCCCCAAATTACCTTGACTGTTGGCTGGCAGGACACAGCTTGTAACCTGAGAAATTTCTTCTGGCTTTATACACACACACATGCGCACACACGCACACACACATGTGCACACACATACACACGCACGCACATGCACACACGCGTGCGCACATGCACATGCACATAGGTTCCTCTTGTAACTAGGAGGGGGCTTTAGCGAATGAGCATGGTGCTGTCCTCCCTTTGAAATTGTGCCTAAGAGTGGTACATAGCGGCCTTTTTGTTCTAATCAGTCAGGTAAAATGTTTGCTGGGTCCCATTTTCTCTTGGGGTTGATCCATGGGGAAATGCCTGCTGACGTATGAAATCTTAAAAGTTTTTTGCCTAATGAAGTCTATCACCTTGTCTTTGAACTTAGGCTCCTCTAAGCTGGACACTAGTGCATTTACTTTCATAATATGGAGTATACTTTGCATAAAGAAATAAGAAAGAGTAGGTAGTGGAAAACATAAAGTCCAGCATTTTGTTAGGTTACACAATTGTCAGGTGACTTGGGGATCATCAATCCACAAAGAACATGAGCAAGTCAGACAACCACTCAGCCAGTAGCTGGTCTTAGAGCAGAGCGAAAACAATTGGCACCCGATGCATAAACATATGGGGGACTGACACAACAGTTCTCATTTTAGGGTTTGCTTTCACTAGACTTACTTTATTTAGTTTTATGTGACATTGAATTTTTATTATAAAAGGTAATATGTATTCTTTTAAATAAATCAAATAAACCAGAGATATGTAAAGAAAAATTATTAATCTCCTCACCATCTTCTTTCAATTCTCTCTTACTCAGGTATCCAATTTTAACAATTTCAAATGTGTTTCTCTGCATTTTTCTCTATACACACACATTTATATCACATACACATAGGTTTAAAAATAGTTGTTTACCTTTTTTTCTTTGAGACAGGATCTCGCTGTGTTGCCTAGGCTAGAGTACAGTGTCATGATCTCAGCTCACTGCAACTTCCGCCTCCTGGGTTCAAGCGATTCTCCTGCCTCAGCCTCCCAAGTAGCTGGGACTACAGGCATGTGCCACCAGGCCCAGATAATTTTTTTGTATTCTTAGTAGAGACAGGGTTTCACCACGTTGGCCAGGCTGGTCTCGAACTCCCGACCTCAGGTGATCTGCCTGCCTTGGCCTCCCAAAGTGCCAGGATTACAGGCATAAGCCACCACGCCCAGCCTGTTTTCTTTTTTATATAAAAACAAAATGATGCCATGCTTGTTGCCCTGTAGATTTTTTTTTTAAATTTACAATAATGTGAAGATTTTTTTCAGTTCAACTCTACATCACTCTTTTTAATTCCTGTATAAATTCCACATAATGCCAGATCGTAATGTCATAATGCATTTAATTTTTCCAGATTTTTGCTACTCAAAACCAAAAATAACACGTTTGCAATGATAAGTTTAGTACCTGAGCTTTATAAAACGTGGTCTAGGTGTATTACAAAAAGGACGTTTGGAAGACTATTATGAACTTTATGTGACTCCTTCCACAATAATCACATTCCTTTACTGGAACTCACTCATTTCTAGTATTCAATGATGAATTGTGGCTCTATTTGTAGATGAATGGTGAAAAACAGAGACAGACATTCACAAGAAAAACAGAAAAATGTTAGAAAGATATGCTTTCATTTACTTATCCAGAATAATTTCATGAGAGCTTCATTTCATCCAAAGACTTCTCCATTCAATCACAGATTGAAAGGTATGCATGAAAGAGGAAGTCTCAAGACAATTCAAATACTTGCTTAGACCTGTGATATTTTAACATAACCTGGTTGAACATTGGGTAGAAAGCAATCTAACTTTTTTTCTAGGTTATTACATGTTACCTGAGGGTAGACATATTCACTTTGTACCAGTGGAGCTTATTTCATTTTAAGAAAAACAAATTGCTTGTCAAGTAATGAATCCAAGACAGCCAAAAATCAAGGCAGCCATTCATGTATTTGAAAAATCTCAGTTAAAAAACCATCTGGCTATAAACTTCAGGAAATCTTCCTTATTAAATTATTGATACTATTTTATCCCTTAAATCAGCCTTTCAAGACATAATTCCATTCTGGGTTCAGTGGCTCATGCCTGTAATCACAACACTTTCGGAGGCTGAGGCAGGAGGATCGCTTGAGCCCAGGAGTTTGAGATTACCATGAGCTATAATCAGTCACATCACTGTACTCCAGCCTCGGTCACAGAGCAATACACTGTCTCAAAGACAAAAAAGAAAGAAAGAAAAAAGAAAGAACTGCATTCCTAAATCAGGTTTATTCCATTCTCTATGGTTAATAGAATTCATCAGCCAGACATAGCACACATTTCTTCCCAAATGCTGTAGCTTTCCAGATCACTTTCCTCTTGGTTTTCCTCAAGCCTATGATCAATTTTTCAGAAATCTTGGAGTCTGGAAGTCCCATTCTTCCTTGCACACTTTTCACAGTGGTATACTAGCTTAGAGCCCAACCAGACATCTGGTAAGTCAGTGCTAGGACATAGGTGGGTGGTCCATATATTTGGGATCAGTAGCAGTGCTAGATCTTTCCTGGAGATGCTTATAGGATGG